GAGGCTCCCAATTGCACAACCGACTGACTCTCAGTCTGTCCGTGTTCTTGCGGGCAGTGAATCGAGTGCTGAGAATGTTACGGACGAATTGAGTCCACACACTGCCGCCAAAAATGACACTTCCGTTCCAGAAACCAATCACTCAGCATCCGATGGCAGTATGAGTCCAGAGGACCGCCTCGCCCTGATCACCGACGCGAAATTGATCCTGCATGATTTACGTGGCGACAGCACTGCGCGTGTGCACGCGTCTCGGGCGTTGCTGCTTCTTCTGGGACTGTGCGCACTTGTGGCAATCTTGTGAGCCGAAGAGTGTGACATTGCGAGTCCTCACGGAGATTGTGTGCCGCATTCCCCGCGGGTTCTTTTCTTTTTTTTCCTTTTTTTTCTTTTGTTTTTTTTTGTAATACTCAGTAATTCTTTTTTTTCTTTTTATTTTAATTTTTTGTTGCTGCACACTGTCGTGAGTGACGTGTTCCCCCTCTTGTTTTGTTGTTTGTTGCCCACACGCGGTGCCGGCCCTGCGGCTGTGCGTCCCACGGACTGCACGAAGGGGGGATTGGAAGAAAAGGCCGGATGCCGCAATAAAAGTGAGGGATGTTGTGTGGGCTGGTGGAACAGTACAATTCCATTTTTTTCGTTTTACTTTCTTTTTTTCATTTTTTTTTTTTTTTTCGTTTTGGTGCGGGTAATATTTATACAGAACACACGGTCGTCTTGTGCCGAACCGGCACATGAAGTGAAAGTCCTGCCGAATCAACATCTTTTTTTTTTTTTACATGTTTTTGGGAGTTTTTCTGAACTCCTACCCTTTTGTTTCTTTTTTCTTTTTTTTTTTAATCACTGCGGACTTTTTTCCTCTGTGCCATGTCCACTGCCACTTTGTGTCCTTGTGTCCCTTTTCTTGTCCCTCTGCTGACCGTGCTGTTGACATGCCCCTATTGCCTCTTTTTTTTCTTTTCTGCTAGAGGCACTGATATTCCGCGACGACGATTGTTTGTGTTCGCCTTTGCGATGTCAACAGATTGGCTGGACGCCGTGCCCTGGCCTGTTGAGTGCACTCGGAGGAGAGCGGATGGTGTGCGCCGTGCCTCACTGTGAGTGTGGGGCGCCACTCGCCACAACCTGCTGTGAGGCGTAATGCCTATCCGTCGGGGCAGAGAGAAGTAAAGGACAGCGCCGTGGAATTGCATACGCTCCGTCCATCTCGTTGCGGCCGTAGGTCTGCTGTGCGCATGACTCTATCTTGCGGCGCGACGTGGATGGCGGTGCCTCTGCGTGCGTTGTGCGGCGGGCTTTTCCTCTCCATGTCTTTGCCCTTTTGTGTGTGGGAAGGTTGTGGGAGAGGATATGTGCGGGGGAGTGAGTGTGGGTGGCTTCCTGCCTTGCCCCGCGCATTGGGGCCTTCCATACACGTGGCTTTGCTTGACGGCGTTTCGCGGCACCCAGGGTGTAGCGAGGAGGAGGATGGGGAGGGTCTGTTGTGGGCGGAAGGAGGATGGACAGGACAGTCCCCTTCTGTATCCTTCCCCGTGTCGTTGGTAGTACGTACTGAGAGCATAAATTTGAGCGAGCGCGGGATGAAACGTTTATGCCGCTTTTCGTGTGCTACTCAATCGTCGTCGTTGCACGCTGTCGTCGCGGTGCCGTTTGATGAGGGGAGGGTGCGATGCCACGGCCGCTGCGCACCACAACTATTTATTGACACTGCCTCGGCATTCCTTTTTTCAGTTTGTGTGAATTTTTTTGCTTTACGATGGATTTGTTGGAGGAGCTTTGGTTTTGGTGGCTGCTTCACGACGCTTTGCCTTGTGTGTCGGTTGCGGTTTTTCCGCGTGATGCCAAAGCGTTTGATGGGGTGCTTACCCTTCTTTTTGAGTCCTGCAGCCAGCCTTTTTGCTCATGGCGGCAGCAATGGGATTTTGCGGCTGCGTGTTCGTCGCACGTGTCGCATCTCCCGCTGTTGCTCCCTTGCTGTGTTGGTGGGGAGTGAACGGGTGACGGCGTCGGTGGAGTTGCGCCCCAGTGGGAGAGGGAAGGCACCGACCGCTGCTGAGTGCGACAGTCTTTGCTGCAGGTGATCTGACGGGATGACGTCACCGGTGTCACAGTTAACTGATATGGATGAGGGCCGCACTGCGTCTCCCTTCTCTCCATCCCCCAGCCTCCTGCAGACTGACGAACTGCAGGGCAGTGGCGTGATTACAAACCGGTCATCTATGAGCAAACAGGCCGCACAATTGACGTGGACTCTTGTCCCCCGTATCTGAGTGCCGCCGTACTTCTTTATTCGTCCTTCTTGTGTGTGTGTTGTGCGCTTATGGTGTCGCTGTGTGTTGTGCAATGCCGACCCACGTGAGCGAAAACCGACGCTTTGACAGCTGGCAACTGGCGAATCCTCCACCCCTATTCCGCGTCAGCACTTTATTCTTTTACGCGCTCGATGGCCGTCGGTTGCGACGCCGCCATGTGAATCTGTCTCGGCTCTTGTGTGTCTTTCACTGCATCGGGACTGTTCTGTGATGTAGCCATTCGGCAACAGGAGCGGTGCCAATGGTCATGTGCCTCCTCTTCGGGATCGCACCACTCGGCATGGTGGTTGTGTGGGGCTGCGTGGGCGGTGGGAGGGCGAGGGTGTCACTGGCGTGATTGTGTCTGCGCTTCTTTGTGTCGGTGGCTGTGCTGCAGTACGGACTGTCTGTGGCCGGATGCTTCTGGGTGCCAATTTCTTTATTTGCTGTTGTTTCTGCCATCCTTTCCTCCGATCAAGCAGATAGAGGTACTTTGCTTGATCAGCACAACTATCGTTTCAAGTGTTAGGGATTAATTGCACTATTAGGATTAGCAGTAGTGGGTTAACGATATATAGGAATTCTGTTACTGGATTTGCCATTTGTAGAAAAGGATTTGCTAAGCAGGAGTTACGGTCGACTGGGCGAGTGCGACACGTCACGGCAGCCCTGCTGATATCTGTTTGGGTCGGTGGATGTGGTCTGCGGTGGGTGCGTGTCCGCGCAGCCGGCACTGTGTGCGGCACATGGCCATTGCGGCTGTGCGTGTGGCGCTGCTCTTTTTGTTGACGCTTGTGGTGGTGGCGGCGTGGATGCCCGCGGTGCGTGCGGTGATGTTGCGACTGCGGGGCGGCACGGTGGACAGAGCCATCACGGTTGGCCGCGCCGTGGACACGGTGCTGATGGACGGCGTGTCCATCACGAACGGCGTGGCTGTGGTGTTCGACGTGGCGGCGATGCTTCCCGGCACGCTGCGCATCGAATTGAGGAACTGCGTGTGCGACGGCGGTGCGCAGATCTACGTGCGGGGCTACAGCGGCGAGCCGGCGAGTGACCGGAGCCTGGAGGTGAGCGTGAGCGGGCTGTCCGGCGGCTACTGCTCGCTTGTGTTTGTGCACAACCTGCCGGCACACACGAACGTGACGGTCCGTGACTCGACGATTGTGACGGCGGGGCCGATGCGCTACTCGCAGCTGAGCGGACTGACGGACGCTGTGGCGTCGCCGCTTGTGCTGCACGCGACGTCACTGTTGCAGACGCAGCTGCGTTTGAGCAACACTGTGCTGAGGTCGTTGCAGGCGGGCGGGTCGGCGGTGTACGTTGGCGGCGGCATGGACCTGCTGTCGAGCGCGGTGGTGCTTGACGGCGTGTTGCTGGAGGCGTCGGGCGGTCCGACCGCGTCCGCGATGCATGTGGCGTCCTCGTCGCGTCTCAGTCTGCGGAGCCACTCGGTGTTCTCCGTGACGAACGTGTCGGTTGTGAGCAGCGGCGGCGGCATTGTGCTTGGCGAGCGCCTCGAGGTGTCTGATTCGGTGCTGCGCTTCGTGGGCGTCGAGGGGTCTGCTGCGTCGTCGCTGGTGCGCTGCGACGGTGGAACGATCGATGCCGGCGGGTGGCTGGAGCTGCGCGACGTGTGGGCGGTGGGCGAGGCGTCGTCGGTGGCGTCGCTGTCGGGTGTGACGCTGAGCGGCGGCACCGTGTCGATTGCGCGCTGCGCTGCCACCGGCGCGACGCTTGTCTCCGGGCCGACGATCACGAGCGGCGCCGTTTCGGTGCAGTGCAACCGTGCCGGCGGCCAGGTGCTGCAGAGCGGCGGCGACTACCGCATGGCCGGCCTGCCCTCCGTGAGCGTGGTGCCGTGCGACGGCTGTGCGGCTGCGCTGGCGTGCTTTGATGCGCTGACGGCGTCGTTCTCTGACTGCGTGTGCGGCTGCCGTGCCGGCGGTGTGGGCGAGTCGTGCCTGCCGTTCGACGTGCTGCCTGCGAGATTCGGCGGCGGTGGTGGCGGTGCGGAGGGCTGCGTGAGTGGCGTGACGCTGACGGAGTCCGTGACGGTTGGCGGCGGGCGTGCGACGGCGTGCTTCGACTCGGTGGTGTTCAGCGGACCGATCACTGTGGCGGTGGACCTGCGCTCGATGGATGCGTTCGCTGACGCGCTGAACGTGACGCTGCGCGACTGCGTGCTTGCGGGTGGCGCACAGCTGCGGATTGGTGGCCTCAGCGAGAGCACGTCGCGCCTGGTGCCGTACGCCCTCGTCAACATGACGAATGTGACGTCGCTGGAGGGCACGATTGTGCTGCATGGCGTGATGCCGCTGCACTCGAGTGTGCTGCTGGCGAACTCAACGCTGCGTGCGACGGTTGGCGGGTCGCAGTACGTGCCGACGACCCCTGGCCACGAGAGATCCCGGTACGGCCCCGCGCTAGTCCTGGACGGTGTCCGGCTACTGTCGACGCGGATTGTCATGACGCGGTCGACGCTGGCGTGTGGCGGGGGCTCGTGCGCTGCGATCCTCGTGGAGCGCAGCCTCGGTGTGAACCTGTCCAGCGTCTTCTACATGGACAACTGCGCTGTCCTGTCGCGGGCGCATGTGATGCGCGGTCTTGCGTCGGAACTGCGTGTTGCCGACGGCTCCGTGTTCTCCGTACAGAACAGCTCGTGGATTGCGCCGAGCATTGAAATCTACAAAGGGGCGTGTGAGTTTGAGGACGTTGTTGTGGATGGCGGCAGCGTGCTGCAGATTGTGTCCAGCACTTGCCGTCTAGGCTTCGCCATGCTCATGGCAAACACGCTGACCGTGGCTGGCGGCAGCTGGCTGGTGCACCGCGACAACGAGTTCCGCACCGCCTACGTTGTGTACGTGGCTGCCTACGACGGCGTGGCGTTCCGCGATCGGAGTGTGTGGTCGATGCTTTACAACAACATCACTTACGGCTCTTACTCGTCGACCATTGCACGCATGACAAGCAACTGGTCACCACCATCCGACACGCGCCCGACCATCTACGGCATGTGCAACGAGGCAAGGGGCTCACCTGTGACGGATTACCAAGAAGAGCTCAATATTGGGACGCCCGTGACGGTGTTGGACTGTGGCGCGTGCACCGTGGACGCCGTGTGCTTCGCAGCGAGGACGAGCAGCATCAGCGGCTGTGAGTGTGTGTGCGCTGCTGGCGGCCACGGCGAAACGTGTCTGCCAGCAGCGGTTCCGGACGGCCTTGGACCGCTCCCGCTCCTCGAAGCGGACGACACGGAGGTCCGCTGCGTTCACGGTGGCAGCATCAGCTCCGTGGACGATCCTGATCCCGGTGTGCGTGGTCTCTGCTTTGTCAACGTGACCTTTACCGCCGCGATCGTGCTGGACCTGTGGAGCTTTGACGCGCCACAACAGACACTCAACATCACGCTGCTGCAGTGCGTTCTCATGGACCTGTCGATCAGGGGGAGTGGTGCGCGCGTGCACGTGAACGTGACATCCTCGATGCTGGATGCCGGAGCGTTGGAGTTTGAGGGTGATTTTGGCGCGAGTTCCCAGATACTGGTGGTAGGCAGTACGCTTGTGACGACTTCGAGCTACGCCATTCGATTCCCGAGGTTTACTTTTGGTGAGAACACGACGCTGCTTCTACTCGGCAACCGCATCGAGGGAAATACTTATGCAGTTTATTCCCCCGATGCTGTTGTTGTTGATGGTGGCGGGATCATTGTGAAGGGAAATACGCTGAGATCAAAGAAGAGGGATTACAGATCGGCATCAGCCGTTTGTTTTCCCGCTGTTGATGTGAGGAACGTCGGCTACATTGACGTGGAGAACAACACGATGAGCGCAGTAAATGGCATTTATCTTTTTTGGGACACCACCGTGAGCTCCGCGGGGCTGCTGCGAGTGGCGGACTGCACCTTCGTTGGCAGGAAGGAGAGTTTTGATTCCACGCTAGTGTTTTTGGACGGCTCTGTGACACTTGAGGGTGGAGCGCAGTGGCGTGTGGAGGGCAACAACGTGAGCGCAGCCTCAGTGATAGGTATGCCTAATTCCAAGCACAAAATTTGTCTGTCGGGCAGCGGAACCACCGTGGTGCTATCGAACAACCGTCAGGTGGACTCGAGTGTTTCTTTTGCGAAACTTCTTCCACCGAACACGATTGTGACATCACCCGCGCGGTTTGTGGTTGGGTGCAACCTGCAGGGCGATGAGGAGGTGTCGTACGAAGATGTGTTTCTTGGGGAAGTGGTGGTGTTCAGATGTGGCACGTGCAACGACGACGCGGCGTGCTACATGCCCGGGACGGAGTCGGTGGACCGTGGCTCGTGCTCGTGTAGCTGCAAGGACGGATGGCATGGCGCGTCTTGTCTTCCCTTCGAGGTGCCCGACACGGTTGTGCCACCCTTGCCGGAGAGAGCCGTCGACGGCAACACGAGCTGCGTGGTGAACCAGACGCTGACGGGCCTCACGCTGAACATGTGGAAGACGCACCACTGCTACGTGGGTGTGACATTCAGCGGCGTGGGTGCTGCGTTGACGTTTTCCTTTGACAGTATGCCGCTGCATCTCCCCATCAACATCACGTTCACTGGGTGCACATTCCTTGATGGAGCCGCACTGCAGTTTGTTGGTGGTGCTGGGGCGACCGAGTCAGCTGGCGTCCTGATCCGCGTGAGCCAGACTGTGATGCGGTCCTCCGCTGTTGTGTTTGCACTCGCCCTCCCGCAGCGCTGCGAAATCGCCATCACGGAGGTTGATGCGGTGCAGTCTTCTGAGGTTCAGCTGCTTGGCCTTATGAGCAAAACG